TAAAAACCTCTGATAATTTGGTCATACATTATAGAAACACATTCACAATAGTATAAAGTAGGTAAAATCACCATAACTAATTATATACTGTGAAAACACATTCACACCAGTGCAGACTAGGGTAAAATCACCTGGGTATTTTCTGGTGGTTTTAAAATAACTTTAGTTATACTGAAACAGTTATATTCTAATAACCTGCTAATCAAATTATTTAATTTAATTAAATTTAACTTTGAAAATATCTAATTATAAATCCACTTCATTTAAAAAAATCACACTGTCAAATCAACTGTATGAAATAATAAATTTTCTAATCTAACATGAATTAATAAATAATTAATTTCTTAAAAATAAGTTTTATATCCACTCACCAAGACAAGCTATAGGCTATGAATGTCAATAAGTTCTTCCAATATCTTAGTCACCACCTGAAATGTGATACAAAATAACCAATTTAATGACTACCATACTATGTAGCTCTTATTATTTAATAACTGAATACCAAAACTTGATTTCTCGATACTTGAATAATTTTTCCCAAATTTTCTTTAATCACTTAAAGCTAATTCCACCTACCAATCCATTCACTAGTATCTAATAATACATCAAATAACCTTCATCCCCATCATAATAATAATTTTTCCCATCCTCCAAATCTAGTAAAACTAATTACCATAATTCAATGAACTAAATTTACATCTTGTTCATTATATTAATCCCTTTAAGTGTATGTTTCATCAAGTCTATAATTTCCCCAAACTATCTTTGCTCAAGCATTCAAATAGAAATCTAGGGTTTACTAAAAATAACATTGCTAACCTTGATTGAATGGAAATTTAAAGAATCAAGAAACTAGAACTCCAACTCATATTCCTATCTCATAAATCTGAAAATTTTAACCATAGGTTAAAACCCTAGAAATTCAACATAAATCATTCTTTTATCACTTGAAACAAATAAATAGATTAAATTCAAGCTTGAAGAGATTCAAACTTACCCTTTTTTTTCTTTCCCTCTCTTCTTTCTCCTTTTCGTCTATTTTTTTTCCTTCCTTTTTTCCCGATTTTTCTTCTCTTCCTAGTTGCATCCCCGTTTTCTAGTATGTGTGTGTGTGTGTTTTTGAGAGAAAAGTGGTCAATTCTAATAATATAAAGGCCCATGACTCAAAATTGCAAAGGAAGTCGCTCTTCTTCATTTTAATATAACATTTAATCCTTCTATCTTCCCTTAATATAAAAGTAAATTCCCCACATTGAATTGTATCTAAATTAACCCTCATGCATTGCCAATTATAAAATAAACCCCAATAAAATATTTTATTTCATTTTAGTCCTTTATTGACTTTGACCTTAACTAGTCAATTTTGATTTTTTGATTAAGAAAAATTAGATTGTAACACTGTATATATAGAAAGTTTTCCCACAAGAATCCCCATACCTTGCAACATTTTTTAATAATTTCGGTAAATAACAATAAGACACGTGCATAGCACGAGTCTCCATTTTTTCAAGTTAAGTATCATGATTGGTGCATTCGTATAATATGAGCTAATGAAATTTACTAGACAGCCAAGATTCTCGAGCCCTAAAATGCACTTGCCATCAGTTACAACTATAACTTGGTCCAGAGAACACAAAATGTTGTGCTAATGCTTTATGGAAGTAATAACTTTGGAAAATGAGTTTCAATGTAAGAAGTGAATGAGTTCCCAGTTGAAGCTATTTACTGAGTTAGTTTTTACCCAACTGCAAATGAACTCATTAACTTTTCGAGTGAAAATAATTTTAAAAAATATTACTTAAGTAGAGCAAAAGAAGAATGTTTTGTGCTGTCTCATCTAAATTTTTTTTTACCTGGATGCTTGATGACATCCAGTAAAGCTAGCCCCCTGTGACCTCTTTTATAAATTTTACGTACCACTTTACAACCTAACTTTGACTATTTTGACAAGAGACATTCGATTTGTAAAAGTAAGGTATTTAGAGTTGAATTTAGTAATTAAGGATGTGTTATAGTCCTTTTAAAAGGAAAAAAAAAAAAATTGAAGTCCTTGGGTTTATGATATCTTACCTGATTATGGTAGACCATTTCGAATCCTAATTACAGCAAGAGCCAAAATTAATTAGGTTACTGCTCCATCTTTTGTAATATGAAATAAAACATTTGAAGATGAATTGAAGGAAAGGAGTTTATTGAAAAAGGATCATCTTTGAGGTAGTTGTTCATCAATAATGAATTGTATAATTGATGAAGTAGAATGATGAACCTGCTTACTGATCGTTTGGTTACCCTCAAGTGAAAGGAATCGTGAGCAAGTAATATAGTAGTGTGTAGAATGTCGAACTCACGATGACTATGCGTTTGATCGAGTTAAAGCTAACAATTCCTTTAATCGGATAGCAAAATTGTATTGTAACTAACATTATAAAATCTATTAACTAACTTGAAAGCAATGTAAAAATTTATCAAATTTGTGAGACGTATTGCTAACATGTAGAATCCCCCTTACTACTCAATTTTTAGTTAAACAATTTAAATTGACAATTTCAATTCATACTTGTTGGTCAATGTTCCTATTTTATTTAAAAGCCTCTCTCGATAGCAATTAAATCTAATCATACACGTGAATTTCCTATATCTCTATGAAAAATGTGAACATGCAAAAAAGCATTAATCGAGTTAGAACATCCATAAAAATCATGTGAAGCATATATGTATATTCTATCCTCTATCGAATCTCACAATATTTATTACATGTGCTAATGATTAATTATCTCTCTCGATGAAAATAATACCCACAAAAAATCCAATTAATGGCCAGTTAATTGAAAAGCAGACGAAACAATAATAAATATCCAAACAATCAAACAAATTCAATGTCAATTTAATTATTCAAACCAAAAAAATTCGTAATAAGGGTTCATTCCATCCTAGTAATATTAAAAAGTTAGCCTAGCATAGAATCGAAGTTAAACAAACAAAAGTTAAAAGACATCACCAAAAATTGACGAAACGTGAATGAATTTTTTTCCTCCAAATGAGGCGGCCTTCTTCTTGTTCTTTCTCCAGCAAACAGCCTTTTTCCCTACTGTTTTATTTGATGTTTTCTGCCAATTAGGCCACCGACCACGTGTGTTTTTCGTTCGTAATTTTCAGCCTTTTCCTCCTCTGTTTGCATGTATAATCTCCCTCAAATTTTCCTCTAATTCAGCTGCCAATTGCCCTAAGTTTTCTGCCTTTTTCTTTCCCGTTCAGCTGCCTTTTTGCATGTATAAATTTTGCCCTTTTTTCTCAATTTCAACAACTGCCAACTTTTATATATGTAATCACCAAAAGAAATTTCCAATTGTTGACTTGAAAAAGAACACCCAAGTGGCCGTCCTTTCGGTCACTGGCGGACCGGGGGGGGGGGGGGGCATGTAGGGTCAATTGACCCCCTAGGTCTTAAAGTTTTTTTTTTTTTTTTAATTAAATAAATTAGTAGGTCAAAATTCAAAATAGTCAAAACTCAAACAAATCCTTCCCTTCTTCAACCGTATCTCTCTCTCTCAACTCCCGTCTCTCGTTGCCTCGCACAAACGGCACTGACGGCTGACTCCCACCGGCCACCATTGAAGCACATTAGCACAGCACAGAGCAGTGAGAGCTCACCCACAGCCACCGGCCACCGCTGCATCCCAGCCTCTGTTTCTGCCTGACCTAACTGCCTCCACCTAGAACGTTGCCGGCGCCTCCATGCGACTGCGGCAACAGCAATAGCCGACGCCAGTCACGCCAGTGCCGGCGACCCATCACTGCTGACTTGAAGGTTAGAAGCTTTACACTTACAAACTTATCACTTACTCAAATTTTTTCTTTGAATTCTTCTCCATAAGTGACAATAACCATAAATGTTGCTTGCCTGCCTGCCTCTATGTGTCATGTGTAGTTCCTATTTCTAAATTTGGATTTATTTACAGTTCAATTAATCAATTATGATTCATGTTCCTGCCCAATAAATGTAATTTAGGGATTTCTGATTTAGGGCTTTGATTTAAGAAATTGACCCTTTTCCAGTTTTCTGATTTAGGGCTTTGTTACTTATTTATATGTAAATTGATTATTGATAATATTGATTTGGGAAGATTGAAATTTTGTCTGACTTTTGGTAGGTAGGAAATAGTATAAACTGATTTAGGCATTTCTAATCTTGTTGATTTTTCATTTTTGGTTGGTTTGTTTCAGTTATGGAAAAATACTTTAAACGTACATCTACGATTTTCTGTGATGAACAAAATATCGGTGAAAGGAATGTTCGAAAGAAAAGGGATGAAAACGATGTTGGGGATGTTGATGTTGATGTTGATGTTGATGTTGATGTTGGAGATGTTGGGGGTATTGGAGACGTTGGAGATGTTGATGTTGGATTTGGGGATATTGGAGACGTTGGAAATGTTGAGGATATTGGAGATATTGGGGATAGTAGAGGAAATGTTGAGGATATTGGAGATGTTGGGGATGTTGATGTTGTACAGCTTCCCTCTGATCCTGGATTGAGAGTTCCAATACAGAATTATGATGTTAATATTCGAGATGTGATTCGAAGAGCATATATGCAAAGAGGTCCTTGTCAGCCTCGCAATTATATATTTCCACCCACAAGAATAGGTAAAATAGACCAACGATTTTGTGTTTCGTGGTATAATGAGCATCCCACTTGGTTGGAATACAGTATAGCAAAGGATGCAGTTTTTTGCTTTTATTGTTATCTTTTCAGTTTGAATGATGGTTCATTTGTTAAAGGCGGATTTTCAAATTGGAAAAAGAAAGAATATATAAGAAAATATGTTGGGGCTTCAAGTAGTGCACACAATCAAGTTCGGGTCAAATATGAATTGTTCAACAATCAAGAACAAAGTATTCGATCTTGTCTCGTTAAACAATTGCATCAAGCTCGAACAAATTATCGAATCTGATTAAATGCTTCAATTGATTGTGTTCGATTTCTTCTACGACAAAGGATGGCATTTCGTGGACATGATGAATATGAAGATTCAAACAATCAAGGAAACTTTCTTGAACTGTTGTATTGGTTGTGTGATCATAATCCTGAGATTAAGGCCATTGCTTTGACAAATGCACCTGAAAATTTGAAATTAACATCACCAAGAGTGCAAAAAGATATTGTAAGTGCTACTGCTTCTGAATGTCTACATGTGATTATTGAAAATATTCGTGATAGTTTCTTCTCAATTTTAGTTGATCAATCTCGAGATATTTCTATGAAAGAGCAAATGTCAGTTGTCATTCGTTATGTGAAGAATGGGTGTATATTGGAACATTTTATTGGTGTTATTCATGTTTTGAATACCACAGCTGCCTCACTTAAGGCTGCAATTGATCAGTTATTCTCAACGCATAGTTTAAGCATATCTAATTTGAGAGGCCAAGGATATGATGGAGCTAGTAACATGCGAGGTGAGTATAATGGCCTCAAAGCACTTATTTTGAAAGAAAATCCAAGTGCTTACTATATTCATTGCTTTGCTCATCAACTTCAATTAGCTCTTGTAGCTGTGGCACAGAAACATCCGAAGATTGAAACTTTCTTCACTACAGTACATAGATTGGTGAATATTGTTGGAGGATCAGCTAAACGGAGTGATCTTATTCGAGAGAATCAAAGATTGAAAATTCTTGAATCACTTAGTATTGGTGAAATATCAAGCGGACGAGGTCTCAATCAAGAAATTACTCTTCAGCGTCCTGGGGATACACGTTGGGGCTCTCACTATAGTTGTTTAATTAACTTGATTACCATGTTTTCAACTATAGTCGAAGTCATTGACATGCTTGCTACTGATTCTACAAGTACCGGAACAAGAGGTGATGCATGCATTTCATTGGAGTTGATGTTAAGATTTGAATTTGCATTTAATCTATATCTCATGAAAAAGATTTTAGGGATTTCAAACGAATTGTCAAAAGCATTACAAAGAAAAGATTAAGATATTGTCAATGCTATGAAATTGGTGCAAATATGTAAAACACAACTCCGAACCATGAGAGATGATGGATGGGATTCTTTTTTGGGAGTGATTTGTTCGTTTTGTGAAACTCACAAGATCAATGTTCCCGATATGGATGATATGTTCGTAACTGTAGGTCGTTCACGGCGTGAGACAGTGACAAATTTGCATCATTTTCGTGTGGAAATGTTTTATGCTGTCATTGATATGCAACTTCAAGAGCTGAATGATCGTTTTTCTGAAGCAAATAGTGACTTGCTTATTTGTGTTGCATGTTTATCTCCAAATAATTCATTTGCTGCTTTTGACAAGATCAAATTGATTCGACTATGTCAGTATTATACGGTAGATTTTGAAGCAGCAAATATCCTAGAACTTGATGATCAACTAGATACGTATATTATTGATATGCGCACTTCTGAAGATTTTGAAGAATTACAAGGCATTAGCGATCTTGCACAGAAGTTGGTTGTGAAGAATAAACATGAAGTGTATCCATTAGTCTACAAACTTGTGACACTAACCTTAGTTCTTCCCGTGGCTATTGCTACAGTCGAGAGAGCATTTTCTGCAATGACTTACGTTAAAAATCGTCTGCGCAATCGAATTGGAGATCAATGGTTGAATGATAGTTTGATTGCATATATTGAGAAAGATGTTTTTGATAAGATTGAAAATGATATAATTATTGAACGTTATCAAAGTATGAGAACACGTAGAGAGCAATTGTAATAAGATATATCTTATTTTAATTTTTTCATCACTTTTTTAAAAGTTCGTTACCGACCCCCTAGTCTAAAATGTCTGCGTCTGCCCTTGCTTTCGGTGCGTGTTCTGCCATCTCCTTCCTGTGTGTATACATTTCTCCTCATTGGCTGCTCCAAAGTGTGTGTAAATATATAATCTTTTAACCACCGAATAGAATTGTGATGTGTGCATTGCATGGATGGACGTGTGCATGGATGGCAGATTGCATGAAGATGGACATGTGCATGGATTGCATGAAGACCCAGTCCAAAGCTGATGAATAATAGAAGCCATGAAATGTGCTGAACACGTAGTGACTGCTTAAAAATAGCTCCTGTGGTTATTTACTCTTTCTTGTTAGTTCCTAGTTGAATTATTATTCCTTGATTCTAGATTAGTTTGTTGGTTTACTTGCTTATCACGTTGTAATTGATCTATAAATAGCCATTAGAAGTTAATAAATAGAAAAACAACATTACATCAACTCTTTTCTTCCCCCTTCTCATTTCTTTCCTTCTCTATTCTTCTGCTGAATAAAAATTCACTTATCAGTGGTATCAGAGCCCATAACCTATAAAGTCCAAGTTCTGGTTAACTATGGCTACTCGAAATCAGTCCAATGTTGAGTTTCGAAATGAAGTTCATGAAATATTGGAACGCCATGAATCCAGTATTGATGAAGTTCACACTACGCTATAGACAATTTTGCAAGAACTACAAACCCTGCGAACATCACAAATTCCTCATCCCAATAACCCAGACACAAACCTATTCGCCCCGACCGAATCATCCCATCAAATTGGCCAACCTTCAGCCGGTCACTCTCAACCATCATCACACCATAACAATCACCATCTCAAACTCACCTTCCCAAAATTTGATGGAGAAGACCCAACTTGATGGATCTACAAAGCTAAACAGTATTTCAATTTCAATGATGTCACTCCTAATCAGCAAGTCTTACTTGCTTTCTTTCATCTCGAGGGAATTGCTCTCCAATGGGATCGATGGTACTCCAAGTTTAAAGGACCAGTGACCTGGACAGATTTTACTAGGGCATTATTGCTCCGCTTCGGGCCAACATATTATAAGACCCCTTCGAAGCACCCACTGGACTCAAGCAAACCACCACTATCACAGCTTACCAAGAAGCTTTTGAGAAATTATCCCACCGAGTAGATGGTCTACCAGAATCCTTTCTTGTTGGATGCTTCATAGCCGGATTACGTGACGAGATAAGGCTCGACGTAAAAATCAAATAGCATCGAACACTTTCAGATGCCATCGGCGTTGCCAAGTTAATTGAAGAAAGAAACTTTTTACAAAGAAAATCAGCTAACTTCCCTCGTCCTTCTGTGCTCGGTCCATAACCAAAATTAGGGCCTAATAATTCAGTTGGGGTTCTTGGTCCCCACCTTTGCTTAAATTAGGAACCAGCCCAAACAACAATCCCAATCCCTTCAAGGGAATCACAAGTCAGGAAGCCAGAGAATGTAGGGAAAAGGGGCTATGCTATTATTGTGATGAAAAATTTCTTCTTGGGCATCGATGTCAATGACCTCAGCTATTCATGATGGACGACATAAGAGACACCGAAGAGGACTTGCAAGATGTCGAGCAGCAACCATTAGTTACAGGGAATCTGCCAGAAATTTCTTTCTACGCCATCGCTAGAACGGAACATCCCCAGACCATAAGACTCCAAGGCAAGTTAAAGGGCAGAGAGATCACGATCTTGATCGATGGGGGGAGTACACATAACTTTGTGGATCAATCATTGGTAACAAAGTGTGGCTTACCCGTAACTCGTGATAAGACATTCTAAGTCTTGGTTGCCAATGGAGAAAAAATCGATTGTATAGGGAAATGTCTGGCCATACCTTTAGACATTCAAGGATATCAAGTTAAGGCTGATTTTTACATTTTACCAGTAGCTGCTTGTCAATCAGTTTTGGGAGTTAAATGGCTTGCAACTCTGGGAATGGTGAAAACAAATTACCAAAGCCCGACCATGACATTTCAAGATCGTGGGACCATTCACACATTTCAAGGCATAAAGCATGCAGGATTGGAGGCTCTCAATGAGAAGGAATGTCATTATATCCGTGGTTCTAGTTTGCTCCTTCAATTAATATCCCTTCCTCCATCCAACCAAGAGGGTCATCCCCCAGTCCTTGCTAATATTCTTGAGGAGTTTAAGGAAGTGTTTGAACCCCTGTCTCAACTACCACTAGCTCGTATACATGATCACCAAATACTGCTTCAACCTCATAGCGGCCCAGTGAATGTTAGGCCCTACCGTTATTCATATTACCAAAAGGTCGAGATCGAGAAAATGGTTCAAGAACTCTTACACTCGGGGCTGATCCGTCCTAGCCGAAGCCCTTTTTCTTCTCCAGTATTGTTGGTAAAAAAGGCCGATGGAAGTTGGCGATTTATTTTTGATTATAGAGCTTTCAACGACATCACCATAAAGGATAAATATCCCATACGGGTGATCGATGAATTACTAGATGAATTATATGGCTCTAGATATTTTTCAAAGCTTGACCTACGATTAGGATACCATCAGATACGGGTTCATGATAGTGACATACCAAAGACCGCATTCCGCACACATGAAGGGCACTATGAATTTGTTGTCATGCCATTCGGACTCACTAATGCACCTACAATATTCCAAAGTTTAATGAATGATCTTTTCCGACCCTGCCTCCGTAAGTTTATTTTGGTCTTCTTTGATGATATATTGATATATAGCAAGTCATGGCGGGAACACATTTCTCATCTACAAATTGTCTTACAAATTTTGAAGTCTAATTGCCTATTTGCTAAAGAATCAAAATGCCAATTTGGAGTAAGACAAGTGGACTACTTGGGGCATATCATATCTAAAAAAGGAGTTATTGTCGACCCTGCTAAAGTTCAAGCTGTTACTGAATGGCCGGTTCCTACAATCGCCAAGGAGGTACGCGGATTTTTGGGTCTCGCTAGGTATTACAGAAAATTCATTAGTAGGTTTGGTGGGATTGCGGCTCCCTTAACTTGTCTATTAGCCAAAGACGAGTTCACTTGGAATTTGGAAGCAGAAAATGCTTTTAACAAATTAAAAGAAGCTTTATCATCTCCTCCTGTTCTTCGACTTCCTGATTTTTCTCAACAATTTGTAGTTGAATGTGATGCTTGTGGAATGGGCATTGGAGCTATTTTATCTCAACAGGGACAGCCTATTGCCTTCTTCAGCGAGGCATTGAAGGGTCAGCGCTCACATTAGCTACCTACGAAAAAGAAATGCTCGCCATTGTAAAAGCTATTCGCAAGTGGAGGCCATACCTTCTGGGTCGATCTTTTGTTCTTAAAACTAATAAAAAAAGCCCCAAATTTTTAATAGAACAGCACATCACTACTCCTGCTCAAACACGTTCGTTACCGAAGTTTCTTGGGTATGACTACATCATTGAGTACAAGCAGGGTCAAGAGAATAAGGGGGCAGATACATTGTCACGTGTGGAAGAAGTTAACTTTTTAGCTCTCTCTCTCCTAAAAGTTGATAGGTGGAAGGACTTGCAGCAAGAGGTACTTCAGGATTCTTTCTATAATAAATTGGTGGAGGAGAGTTCCAATAAAACTAAACATCAATATGTGAAATGTGATGGGGTATGGTTTTGAAAAGGGAAAATATTCTTGAGTCCTAATTCATCTCTACTCCATGCTGTACTAGTCAATGGGCACTCGTCATCTGTAGTGGAGTGGGTCAAACATTGCGGCTGCCAACGGTGGTACTTTCACCGTCAACAGTAACTTTTCTGATGAAAAGCTGTGCCAGACAGCACCTAAGCATCACACTAACGATAAAAATAATAATGCAGAAACTTTTCTTACTAGCCTTCATTTTTGCTTCAGATTACATCATCACTTAGCTTAAATGAGACCAACGTATTTATAAGAAAACATCAACTTCACTCTGATTTCCACATGCCTAAATAAAATTCCAAAGCAGGGACATAAGTATGTATTTTCAGTATCAACTGTCCTCAAAAGCATGAAAAAATACCATACTATCTATAGAGAGTATAAATTGATAGATAGTACTCTTTAAATTTCAAAATTTTCCATTTTAAATATTGCAAACCAGAATTATATAGATTGGTGTTTTAAGATGAGATGTTAAAACCTGAGATAATTTCTTAGATTAGCAACAGTCATGATGCATGAAATTAGACATGACCAAC